GGCCCTTCACACTTTGTTTCTGTCTAGTTCTAATGTACCGTCACAATAGTGACTTTAATATATTTCACTCAGACGATAAATCATATTTTAGCCCAGCAGAAGGTATACCGCCCGTACCGAAATATCGGCTATTTTTGTTATTTTTGTGTTATTTTTGTCAAATATTTGTTAATTAGTTCCTTTTAAAGTTTTGAACGCATTGCCGTCATTGGTGTCCTAAAACTCGAGAGAAAATGAAATCAACAATTTCTCTTTCCCAAACAAAAGGAAATGATATTAATTTGCTTGACCGTCTGCAAATGCAAAATGATACCGATAATGAAATCGGTCGCTCGCTTTTCCGAACGATCCTATGGTGTATTATATCAGACCGGGAACACTGCAGTAGTGCATACGCACAGAAAGGTATTTTGGTTAAAGAACCGAAGGGTGCTATTAGTTCAAGAATTGTTTCTGGCTCACGGAAAAAGATTTATCGAATAATATTGGATGACTTATAATCTTATAATAATATGCAAGTACATAGATGTTTGGTTTATTTTAGGAAGAGATTAGTAGAAGAACGTCCAATCAAAGCGCAGCTGGGAGGTCACGTGACAACATTGCTGTCACAGCAACGTCCGGTTTATTTGATTTAGTCCCATCGAGAATGCAAAAGTATAAGCAACTTTCGATTCTAAAGTTCAAGACACTTAATCAAGATTGCTGATATGGTTTATTTTAAGAAGAGACTAGAAAACCCGTGGTCACAGGGAGGAAGGTAATAATATTCTTTGGTAGTCAGTTTTTGTAGCATCAAAAAATATCACAACTACACAGCCCATTAAAATGTAGCTCGCACTGAACACAACGTAGTCGTAATTACCACAAACCTGATAAAAATGATGTTAAAACGATCATTGCACGTGCATGTGCGTGTTTCAACACCATTACCATGGTTACTATGCAACTTCCTAGAAAACCCGTGGTCACAGGGTGGAAGCTAATAATAATATGTCATGGTTATCACAGTCATTCTGGCAAGCATGACCTGATGACCGCGGCTCTTATAATAGTTATACATTCTATACTATTATACCCCCTTTACTATTTTCCAGGCATTAAGTCTCATCGGAAGTCGTGTATTGGGAAGTGGGTTTTCTATTACAATTGTAAATGAATGGAAAAGCGAGCGACCGGATTCATTATCAGTATCATATTGCATTTGCGGACGGTTATTCAAATTAATATAGATAATATATATTCGCGGTCCTTGATATACGAACGGCCATAGTTGGTTAGTACGCACTTTACGTACTTTTAAAGCAAATTGCAAACTTTTCGTCGCCTCAAATAGTGTCTTTTATAAATCTTTAAAAAGCAACATTTATTTCCAAAATTGACTAGCTGGCAGTTTTACTAAACGGGTGATATACTCGTAAAATATTTGTTCCAAATATTAGATTTAGACCGTCAACGAGCGAGCGTGCTAAATCACTCTACAGTCGATCTTCGAGATACAACAGTTCTAAAAGGGCCCCCGACAGTTGAAACCAACTTGAATCGATGTATTTTCGGACGCTGATTCCGAATCACCCCCATAACATAGGGTTAAAATGCTCCCCTGGCGAGATATTGGCGAAAAACTGTCTCGATCACGTGATATGACCGTAAAAGGAAGTTAGTCTAATTTCTCGTTAGGGTTAAGGTTTCAGCATATGCTTTTGTTAAGGATTGGGTTAGGGTTAGGGTTGGGATCAGATTAGAGGGCCAGGGTTTTGAATAGTCGTTCAGGGCCAGCTAGAGAACAGGTTGAAGAAGTCACGTGACAGTCGATCAGTGTAAAGTGATTAATCATCATCCGTCAACGAGTCTAACTCGGCATGCGTTCTGTTACGGTAGGTTATAAACTACAAAATTTTCCCCGATATTAGCAACCGTTCACGAATTACCATGGATGTAAACTTTACGGCACTTCGTATGACTTAACTTTGTTGTTTAAGTGAAAAGTTTAAAATGTCTACCTTCTAGAATTTTTGGTCTAGGTAGGTAATGGTAGTGCGCCATTTACAGTAAGCCGACGGTAAGATGATTTTTTAGCGCTAATTTCGGCCAGCACAAAATTCTTGGAAAAAAAATGCATATTGTAATTGGGTAACCTTTCCTCGATAATTATTCGTAGGGCGCTGCCTCAGAGTCTCAAGCTCTAGAGTCCGGACCGCACTATAATTACCATTTTAAAAGGATACTGAGAAATCTCCTTTTGGAAATATGAATTAGTAGACAAATAATGCATGTGTTTTATTGCACATGAGGAATGTTTAATTAAAAAGGTATACATTTTCTACTACTCACAATATGTAAAAAATAGTCAGCTGGCAAACTTGTCCACTGTTGTCGCTGTTTAAGTTTTCATAACATTTTCCAGCCTGACTGGTAAGTTTGATTAAATGAAACATAAAACTCATAGCGACTTTAAGATTAAGTATGATAATAAAAATATGTCGTGATTATTAGTATACACATATTTTATTTAGTAAATACCCAGTGTTTATATAACGTAAAGTGAAACATCTCTATATACCAGGTACTTCGATATAATTACATCACCATCCTATTTTCTAGATACCAGGTTCATTCTATACCGTTTCCTACAAAATAACTGAGATATTTTTATATAAAATAAAGTCGACGTCTCTTCTATTTTCAGAAATATTGGATGGCCCACTGATAAGGTCCGAAAATGCAGATCCTTAAGTTTTTGTGGACCTACTCGTGAAACAATTATATTTTAACAAAATATGCAACATGCAGGTGAAATGGGCGGGTTAAAATTAAATTAAGTTAAAAATGTGGCCGATTGTTCAGTGTTCAAAATAAATAGGCCGAAATCTGTTAAAAAATCTACAGCATTCGAAGAAATCCTTAAAAAATGTCTGTTCAATATTCTGATTCCGGGAAGCATTCTCTTTACGCGATCAGCATCATATTTTACGATGAGATGGTGATTTTAGAGGATACGCCGGTAAAATCTCTAAAAAAGTGTGTTTCTAGAGCAAAACGCGCAGTTTTGCTAGTACTTAAGTTAAGTTTTCGAAATTGTCCAACATTCAAACGACGATTTGGCATCGAAGCAAGATGACGAGATCGTTGCTCTGAGCTTCGCGGAGCAACGATCTGGAAGGGTTGACATCGTCAATCAAGTCAACAGTCAAGTTCAGAATTGCTACTGAGAAGAGCTGTATAATTTTAGTTGTGCTGTCAAGTTTAGTATTGCTACTGAGAGTGAGAGGCCGTATTTCAGTTGTGTTGTCAAGTTTAGTATTGTTACTAGACTGAGAGACTCTTGCCATACGTTGCATGCAACATGTATCAAAGAGACTCCTCTGGTCAATTATAAATTCGTTAGATTTTGGTTTGGATGACTGCCGAGGATTGGAGGGATGTTTACTGACTATTTTATCATCTGATTTGGTAAAAGAAGGTCCAGTACTAGTAGTCACACAAGTATCCGGTCTAGCAAGAGAATCACTGTGTTCAGAGTCGGAAGTGGGGATTGCCTTTCAAGATTTTGGAACTGCTTCTCAGCTATAAAACTTTGAAGAATTCCTATTTCTCATATCATCAAGCTGAGGTGTGCTGGGAGTCTTCTCAGTGACTCAGATGTAGACTGAGAGTTGGGAAGTTTTGATCGACCAACTTGTGTTTCATGAGGTTTTCTGATAACCGATTTTACGTTTTCTGGTCCCGAAAATACTTCGTCAACTGTTCCTTCAGGCTTGTTGTCAATAAATTTGGTTTGTTTTGTAAGAGCAGAGTTCAGAATGGTCATCAACTTTATTACCAACCAGAAGCGTGTCACTGATAGATTCATCAGCAGACATCCACTCATGGTCAGGATTACCAAGCAGAGAAGTCAAAATTAACGGCAAATTGGCCCCAGGGGTCACTCCTCTCCAAGCTTGAAACTTCCCTCTCACGAGCAGCACTAATTGCAAACGGAAAAGACCGAGATCCTAAAGTGTTGAATCAAAGGGTAAATTGCTGTCCATCTCTGCTTCTGAACCCTCGCCTACGAATTAGGAGATGCTTCAGTCCAAATATATCTTCCTGAAGGGTCAGCTTCACCCTCAGCGGGAGGCGAACCAGGCACAATGAGTCTCGCAGACCCCGAAACTGGCGATTTTGACACGAGTCAATTTTAGAGCTACAGATAATACCCGATACTAATAAGTCCACTTCCTGATAGGTCAAAGAGAGAGAGAGAGAGAGAGAGAGAGAGAGAGAGAGAGAGAGAGAGAGAGAGAGAGAGAGAGAGAGAGAGAGAGAGAGAGAGAGAGAGAGAGAGAGAGAGAGAGAGAGAGAGAGAGAGAGAGAGAGAGAGAGAGAGAGAGAGAGAGAGAGAGAGAGAGAGAGAGAGAGAGAGAGAGAGAGAGAGAGAGAGAGAGAGAGAGAGAGAGAGAGAGAGAGAGAGAGAGAGAGAGAGAGAGAGAGAGAGAGAGAGAGAGAGAGAGAGAGAGAGAGAGAGAGAGAGAGAGAGAGAGAGAGAGAGAGAGAGAGAGAGAGAGAGAGAGAGAGAGAGAGAGAGAGAGATCAAAGAGTTATTATCCGCCTCCTGATCGTGGGTTTGTTACAGTCAACTATTGCTTTTCGCCAGATAGACTCAATTCTGTTTGGATTGAACTCTAAAAAGATAATAATATAAAATTAACTAGTAATAGTGAATACTAATAGTAATACTGTTATAGTTTCAAAGAGAAGTAAGGGGTCGTTCACACTTCACATAATTTACGTAATCAGCCGAGGGCGTTTTGGGTTTGTTATTCTCTATTGGAAAAGTATTCCAAGTGATTTGTATTCATATTATATTTTTATTCATAATATTTGTATACCGCTTAGTCTTTAAACATTCTGATGGCTCAAAGCAATTAAAGTATTATTTTGAAAAATTCTCGGAAAATACTTAATTTTCGTTATTATCCTCGCTCTAGTAATTTAAGTTTGTATTACAAAGAAAACTATTATGTATATTAGTTCTGAAGGTCATTATACCAAGCCATAAAAAACAACGTTGAAGTAGTTAAATTTATAACAACCCTGTGGATTTAACACATTATCAAAACCGCAAAATTAAAGTAGCTTTGCAAATAAAATTAATAATAAACAACTGAATCGCTGTATTTAAAATGCCCTGATATAGTCTGATTACGATCGGTCAAATTTAAAACAGTTTAACACTTTTACTAACATATCAGTTAGAATATTTCTAACATAGACTAAAAGTGTTATTTTAAGGCAAAATAGTACTGGAAGTTTCCAATAAAACCCTATAGGATAGTTGGGCAATAATAATTTAATTAGGTAATTTGACGAAAGTTAATTGAGGTTACATAACCTAGCTGAAACAGCTGAAAACGTAGATATACGGAACAATATCTGAGTGATATTAATAAAAAGTTTACATTTTTACTGGACGGTAACTACTGACTACAGCAGTGCAGCTGGATTTAAAAACTTAGTAAGATTTGTTAACTCACAGCTAGACTTACAATAAAAACCTATAGCTAAATGTTCATTGTTCTGACAACTCAATTCTTAGACATAATTATTGATTTACCCCACATTTTTAATATCGTGTAACCAGACGGAATATATCGCACAATCAGCGAATGTAGATATATTTTACTTAAGATGATGGAACCAGGAACAACTGTCTTTTTCACAGAGGTCAATCTTCTTAGGAAGGAACGGAAGATATGATGAAGAGGAGTGGAAAGGGTGGCAGTGTATTCTTTGGAAGGATGTTAAAGTTGGCAGCGCTCATAACCTGAGGAAAATAAAGTTTAACAGGTTTGTTGTTCAAAAACTACAGTACTAATCTGGACAAACTCAAAATTTTCAGACAGAAAATTATTATTTTGCCACGATGTAAACTGTAAAGTTTTCACCAGAAAGGCTAAAAATGAAATTGAAAAGGATTTAACTTATTACATTCATTGATTGCATTTAATTGATTAATGATGATGATGACATTGATTAAAGTTTAAATAATTAGAAAGATGATTATATAGAATTAGCGTTTCTGTGTGGTTGTATCAAGTATAATCTGCTAAAATTGAAACTCACCTTTTGTTCAATGAGGAAGTGAAGTTAGCTCTAACACAAAAAGAAGTTCTTGACTCGCAAACACCGCTTTCTTCTCTGAAAAAGTAAGGGAAGTTAGGGTATTTTTTATATAGGTAAATGATCGGGACAAACTCAACGTCGCGAGTTTTCGGCAAAAATCGTTATTTTGCCACAATACGAAGTTTTCATCAGAACGGCTAAAAATGAAATTGAAAAATTGAAAGGAATTTAACTTATTACATTCATTGATTGCATTGATTAAAAAGAAGAATTTTATTAAAGTTAAAATGATTACAATGATGATTTTATAGCATTAGTATATTCCGCTAAAATTGAAACTCACCTTTTGTTCAATGAGGAAGTGAAGTTAGCTCCAACACAAAAAGAAGTTCTTGACTCACAAACACGTGATACCCATATAAGGGATATAAACACCGCTTTCTTCTCTGAAACAGTAAGGGTATAATATATTATACGGGTAAATTATCGACCATCTCCTATTACAAACACCTTAGGCTTTATCAAACATTAATTTAAAAGTGCAACATGGTGGTGGTGCTCGTATTGGAACAACAACAGTAACCATGGTAACCATGGTTACCTATATAGAGATCTCATGGTATACTAATGGCACGTGATGCCCATATAAGGGATATATTGTATCCCGAGTACCAAATTGATTTTTCACTGAATATAATATCATTGAAAGCAATACGTAGATGTGATTAATTCAACATAACCATAATTTCAACCTGAAGTATCAGTGAAGGAGTACAGGAGATAATGTGGGCGTGATTTGGAAGATAAGTGTCCTTATATGGGCATCACGTGTCTTTCAGTCGCCTTTCAGTCACATCTCCTGAGATGTTATTGTATAGATACATAATTAAGCTATATTTATGCAATAGGAAATGTCTTTATAATCATGATAATAATAGAAATCTTTATGAAAGACATGTTTCCAATTTACAAGGGATAACAAAACGTTTCTAGATAACTTGTACAGGAAACTTATTTTAAATTATTTAAAACAGTCGATATATAGTATACACGTGATCCACCCACTTTAATCTCAATTTACCAAATTAGTGCAGGTGTCTCAACAGGATCAATTAAACGTGAGTGTCTAGGGTTACCATAGCGACCAACTAAACCACAAGTAAACTGCTCCTGATCACTGCTTTTCACTGATCCTCGCCTAGTGAGAAACAAATTAGATAAAACAAGGTTATTTCCTGACTTTCTACGGGCTTGTCCCTTTTGCTATTTAGTAAATACCAGAATTATAGAATACTTAAAAACCCTACGTGAACTCGTATCATTTTGAAGAACGAAACAAAGTAAGTAACCTAAAGTGAAATTTGTAACAAATCTTAGGATCATTAAAAGCAAGTGGTAATAAACGAAAATTAAAATTACCTGTTATTTGAGAACTCAAATGTAGCGATTCTTGAGTTGCTTGCGGAGGTTTTTGTCTTTAAAGAGTCGGGTTGGATAGTGTTAAGTTGAGAAGGATAAAGAAAGTATAAAAAGAGAATTAATGATAATAAGATTAAGGTGAAAGGATAAAAATATCATCTTTGTATCCGTGAAAAGTATGAAATTGTTTCCTTTATAGAGAAAGCACTTCTGATGAAAGTTGTGAACACCGGTTCTCATCCTTAGATTAGATCTGTTGTGTCTTCTTCAAGGTGGGTTCTTGAAACTTTTGAATGATACGATAGGCATCATTTAATACTTACAAATAATAAATAAAACATAATAATAAAATACATAATAAAGCTTTTAAACTATACATGCGAGTCTTGGAATACCCCGTGTTCGTCTTCTGCTGGTGTAATGTCAGCTTCTACATTCTGAGCTTCAATATCACTGATTTCCTCTTCCTGTATGTTTGCTAGAAGTGTGCTACGTTCCGTTTCATTTTCACAACGATGAGTCTGAGTTGATAGTGGCAGGGTTGACAAAGGAAGTTCATCTGAAGTAGTCTTACATCTGCAACAGATAGATTTAGAGCAAGACTTTTTGAAATAAGAGATTGGACAGCAGGCGGAAGCTTGTTCTTTTTGTTCTTCATCCTTCCCATTTTTCGGAAGTTTTGCTTCGCTAAACTTTCTTAACAATATAGCTGCTGCAAGAAAGATAATCATCAGGATCACTAATACGATGATCACCCATTTCGGCTCCATCAGGCCTAAGTCTTGTCTCGAGATAAACAACGTCAAAGATACATGTACCACATTATTAACCCATATCCGCAGATAAAGGCTGACTTCATTCGGAAGTTTTTAAAAATCGTTTTATTGACCTGGAAAATATAAGAAAGCAAAGTTATGAGGGTAGTTGAAATAATTAGTAGTATTAGGTAGAGCCATCCCTGGTATTTGAAGATATCAGTATTCCTACCGCAGGGGTAGTTATTCTCAACATAAACCGCGCCTATAACTCCCTCGACAAACATGTAGGTTGATATGACCATCATCTCTTTCCAGGTCCTTAAAGTTTTGTAGCCTACTTCTGAGGGGGAAATAAGATATGCATTCGGTCGACGTAGCGAAATGACAATAACATCTCTAAAACTGAATAGCAGGAGAGACCACATATCACCAATACGTCGTAGTATCGTAAGATCTTCTTCTTTATCCTTTGAACTTGGTATTTTCTGCTTGCTTGCTATACTTATCGTGATCTTATTAACAACAAACCAAACTAAAGTTGATTAGTCCAAGATATCCAGCAACATAGAAGTGATTGGGGACTGAGTGCATTACTGCTGCAAATAGGAAGAGTCTAGAAGGGATCATCAGAACATAAGCTATATACAATAGCACGAGGGAAACAGTAGACATCTTTGGTGTTGCTGGATGGAGTTTCCGAAGTATCACTTCCAAACCGATCACGCTGTTGGGAATCTTCACAAACGGCACTATCATTGAATATACTTCCACCCATGACGCGCATATCTTTAATCTCAGTAGGTTTTCGACACACACAAAATCCCCTGAATCGTAATCGAAACTATGATAGTCCGTACATCCAGAGCTTCTGAAGTCCCCATCTTTCCTCAAAATGTTGAAGTAGATCTGAAAAATGTAAAACTGGATAAGAAGCTCAGGAATCTGTTCCGTTATCATATAGTATTGGGCAAGAGATTTGTCTTTGGCCTGCTGCCTATAGATGACTCGTAATTTAGAAGGTGAGTGCGTGAGAAATTGCAGACGATCAACAACTGGACGGAGCCAAAATATCGAGAGTACGTTGAAAAATCCGGCTCTAACAGATGTTGATATTGATGAATGTCCTTTTACTTTGAACGGCCAAAAGAATCGTCCTAGATATTTAAATGGCACCCACAATTCATGCCCATAGTTAAGTTCAGAACCTTTCCAATCTTCTGGTGTAAATGTGACTTTTCCAAGATTTGTCCGGAGTTGCTCTATCCCAGTAGCAAATGTTGAAATTGAAGAGCGGATATTCTCGTGGAACAACGTCACAAAAACAAGGACTAGCATTAGTATCCCTAATCTTGAAGAAAAGCCGTTTAGCGTTTTGTAGCCTACATAAACATCAGAAGCAATGTCGGAGATATGAATTAATATTGCAAATAAGCAGGTAAAATAGTCAAAGCTTCCTCGAACAGTACACTTGTGCGAAAACTTGCTAATGCATGCAGAAAACAGACACTTTTCGATGTCCTCTTTAATATTTTCTATGGGAGCGCAGCATCCTTGATCGTTCTCCTTCAAATAGGTTTTAGCAATACATTTTGCTACAAGTTTTGCGTCAATGTCTCCTTCATATCCTTCATCTGAAATTCTATCTATTTGGGCGGAAAATCTTTCGAAAACAGCCTCTCCCAATGTTTCTCGAAGAACCTTTTTAAAAGCGTCCTTTTCGAACGCTTCTTTAGACTTCTTTGCTTCTTTGGATTTCTTTGGACTGTCTGGAGACTCGACCTCACTTAGAAGGCTTACATTTCTGGGATCTTGAGACTCGACCTCACCACAGTCACATTTGATGTTAGCCTGCAAACTTACGTACAATACATTCAATAAACTTGATATCTTTGTGTCATTATCGTGTAGATCTACGAAGATGTCAACAAGTGTTTTGAAGACTGAACTTTTACAGAACACATATATTGCCTGGTTGTTATCCACTTGCTCCATATTGACACAGCCTAATTCGTGAAGGTATTTAACTATATAAGCATGACCTTGCTCAGCAGCAGCGAGAAAGGGGGTATAACCTAAATTATTAACGTGGTTCTTATCCACGCCATCGACTTGGCACATTTGTTTCACAATGTCCAAATAACCCATCCTAGCAGCTATCAGGAGAGGAGTATCACCTTTCTTATTCTCCAATTTAACATTAATATCACTGTGTGTTAACAGCTCTTTTACAACATCTGTGTGACCCTTTCTAAGTGCTATGTACAGTGGTGTACCTGACTCACCCTCCCAGTTAACATTAATATTACTGTGTGTTAACAGCTCTTTTACAACATCTGTGTGACCCTTCTAAGCTGCTATGTACAGTGGTGTACCTGACACACCCTCCCAGTTAACATCAGTATTACTGTGTGTTAACAGCTCTTTTACAACCTCTGTGTGACCCTTCTCAGCTGCTACGTACAGTGGTGTACCTAACTCACCACCCTTGTTAACATCAGTATTACTGTGTGTTAACAGCTCTTTTACAACATCTGTGTGACCCTGCTTAGCTGCTATGTATAACAGTGATGTACCTGACAGACCCTCCTTGTTAACAGCAATATCACGGTGTTTTAACAGCTGTTTTACAACCTCTGTGTGACCCAGCAGAGCTGCTCTGTACAGTGGTGTACTTGACGCATCCTCCTTATTAACATCAATATTACTGTGTGTTAACAGCTCTTTTACAACCTCTGTGTGACCCCACTGAACTGCTATGCACAGTGGTGTACGTGACTCATCCCCCTTATTAACATCAATATCACAGTGTGTTAACAGCTCTTTTACAACCTCTGTGTAACCCTGATCAGCTGCTATGTGAAGTGGTGTACCTAACTCACCACCCTTATTAACAGCAATATCACGGTGTGTTAACAGCTCTTTTACAACCTCTGTGTGACCCCACTGAGCTGCTCTGTACAGTGGTGTACCTGACTCATCCCCCTTATTAACATCAATATCACGGTGTGTTAACAGCTCTTTTACAACCTCTGTGTTACCCTACTGAGCTGCTATGTACAGTGGTGTACCTGACTCATCCCCCTTATTAACATCAATATTACTGTGTGTTAACAGCTCTTTTACAACCTCTGTGTGACGCCACTGAGCTGCTATACACAGTGGTGTACCTGACTCATCCCCCTTATTAACATCAATATCACTGTGTGTTAACAGCTCTTTTACAACCTCTGTGTAACCCTGATCAGCTGCTATGTACAGTGGTGTACTTGACTCATCCCCCTTATTAACATCAATATTACTGTGTGTTAACAGCTCTTTTACAACGTCTGTGTTACCCTGCTTAGCTGCTACGTACAGTTCAGTGCTCTGGTCAGACATCTTTACTGGTAGTTACCTAGAGAAATGTTAGTAGTCAGTAACTGTGTTGTACAGTTCAGTGTTGTGTTTTACAGTTCAGTGTTGTGATTTACAGTTCTGTGTTGTGTTTTACAGTTCAGTGTTGTGATTTACAGTTCAGTGTTGTGTTTTACAGTTCAGTGTTGTGTTTTACAGTTCAGTGTTGTAATTTACAGTGCAGTGTTGTGATTTACAGTTCAGTGTTGTGTTTTACAGTTCAGTGTTGTGTTTTACAGTTCAGTGTTGTGTTATACAGTTCAGTGTTATGATTAACAGTTCAGTGTTGTGTTTTACAGTTCAGTGTTGTGATTTACAGTTCAGTGTTGTGTTTTACAGTTCAGTGTTGTGTTTTACAGTTCAGTGTTGTGTTTTACAGTTCAGTGTTGTGTTTTACAGTTCAGTGTTGTGTTTTACAGTTCAGTGTTGTGTTTTACAGTTCAGTGTTGTGATTTACAGTTCAGTGTTGTGTTATACAGTTCAGTGTTGTAATTTACAGTTCAGTGCTGTGTTTTACAGTTCAGTGTTGTGTTTTACAGTTCAGTGTTGTGTTTTACAGTTCAGTGTTGAGTTTTACAGTTCAGTGTTGTGATTTACAGTTCAGTGTTGTGATCAAAACTTCTGAAAATCAAACTTCAGTCAGTGACAAAGATCAACGCCAACAGGCCCAATGTGCCTGCCATTGAGCGCCTGAGGGATAGTACTACGGTTTTAGAGTACAATGTGGCTCTTCAAAACCGATTTGCAAGTCTGGATAGTGAGGTCGACCTCGAGGATATGTGGCGTAATCTCAGTCAGACCGTCACTGATGTCTCACTGGAGGTACTAGGCAAAAGACCCCGGAAGGCAAAGGAGCAACACCTGTCACGGAAGACCAAGGATTTATTGATTCAGCGGGCACAGTTTAAGCGCAAAGACCCAAACTCAGACGCGAACAGGTCAGAGTATTCTAAACTTAATAAGTTAGTCAAGAAAAGCAGCAAGTTAGACGACAATAACTGGGCAGTTAGAGTAGCTACTGATCTTGAGGAAGCAGCGAGCAAAGGTCCAGCAGCGTGAGGATTGGGCAAAATCAAAAGACTTTAAAACAAAATTCCACTTTTTTCGGGGGAAACATCCTAACCCAGGCCAAAGATCATCTGTCAACACTGAGATGCTAGAGAGCCACCGTAAGGCCTGAAATACGACGTCCAGAACACAAATGCTAAATCAAGAAGAAAGTACCCCCAACATGATATAAATAGTGCAGCAAACACAAAACAAGAGTCCATAATGAGCATTATGAGCAATGTTGGATACACATATTTAAAGCTAGATATCTCCCGCTCACATTCAAACAGACACTGAACCCGCTACGGGTCGTGGTCAGAAGGAACATTAACCCTGCAACGTGCCCCGTTCAATAAGGAGGGGATTTAAAAAAATATCATTCATATATTTATATTATTAGCTTCAGTTACCAGGTCATGCTAAAGAATACGTGAGCCAAATCCATTCAAGTTCCTTTCTAGGAATTTTCGTATAAGTAGGTAATGGCCTTCGCAACTATTTTATAATATATGTACAAAGTAAATTATAACGTTTGGCCAAGTAAATTTCACGGTTGCAGGAACGCCGCTCGTTGCAGTGAAATAGCAGAGATATAGCCGGGCAAAATGTAGTTACTAAGCAACGGATAGCAATGAAGTAAAACAATACACACGCTCCATACTCGTCAATCGAAAAGCCTGTAAAACAGGTCTAAGAATAATGCGAATAATATGCCAACTAGCTGTAACACAGCCCGATGGAAGTGCTTTACAGGACAGCACCACGCTCACGTGACTTCCTAAAATGAAATTAGATGACCGCTTTTCCAGACCAATACTCATTACGTAATGCGGTGAAAGCAGAAATGTAGTTGATTAAGTATACAAAGGCGTGTTTCGATTTTCTACCAGCGCTGAAACCACAAAAATCAACGTTTTTCCGTCGAGAATATCGACCAAGGAACACTTTTAGGGGTTCTATAAAATGAAGGAGAAGCCTCAAATTGCTAGGTGGGTGGGCAGGAGTTTACTATGGTTACAGTTACAACCAGTAGACACTGTTACTATTGTTACTTTGGTTACAGTTACACCAGTAACACTGTTACTATGTGTTACTATGGTTACAGTTACACCATAACACTGTTTACTATGTGTATCACTATTTACAGTTACAACACCAGAACCCTGTTACTATGTCGTCATAATAACAGTGTTAATAATATAGAGAGAATATTATATTGAACATCACCGCTGACTATGAAGATGTGAAGACAGATAGACAAGGGAGAGTGGTATGAAGAGTGGATGCCTAACACGTCTTCAGGAGAGGAACAATGTTAGCATGCCTAACACAAGTAGGACTTAGCATGAAACGTCCACTTGACCAAGTGGGATCAAAACTGAAAAACAGTCAACTGATCGGCCCCTTGTCATAATCCTAAGAGTCCTGTGTGATTGGCAGGTATTTTAGACACGTCCAGCTATTGGTTTATATGGTAACCAGCTATTGGCAAACGAGTGAAACATTTTCTAACTATAAAACAACCTTCCTATCGTAATGAACCACGTGGATCTAAGAGTAACAGATGTTTGTCGTCCCTGTTTTAAATTTCAGATTTTGGTTCCGCAGGAGAAAAAGGCCTATTTCGGGATTACTTTGACGGTTTTACCTATGAAAGGATGACAGTTCAGGTTTCCAGGTTGTATCTTTTATAGGAAATACCACAAATTGTACCCGGTCTATTGTACACGGAGTCCCACTATGTAAGTGAAAACGTACCGGTGAGAGTGGGTACTACGGTTAGTAACAAAGTGCATTATCAGTACATCTCACCAGATCAATAAGTAAGCTACAAGTTAAGCATTAAATTAAAGAGTGAACAAAATTTAACGAGCGCTCGAAAATAGCTAAAAATGTGGTTAAAAAGAGCCATCCCACCGATACCTATACCCAGACTAACCCATCAAATCTGTCCTCTATCACGGATTAACAATTTAAAAATAAAAACATGAGAAAAATAGGAGTAGCAGATATCCCGTACATTCACTTTATCGAATTACTTAGTAGTTTTAGGATAATAAAGATTTTTAAAACTCCTGATTTTATATTATTGGATTAGCTTGTCAATGACATGTCCATCTGGGATTTGGTAATCCTGTCTGCACTTTCTCCTTTATAAATATTGTACTGTGTTATAGAGGTGAAACTATCGGACTGAAGGATCTTTGCCACCCCATATAAAAAAAGCTACTAGAATACATTATATATACGCTTAAAGAGAGAGGTAATGTTGTACAGACTGTTATTGCAAGACAAGCGAATGGTAGTAAAGAGTTAAAAGTAATCAAGCAACGATCGTGAAAATATCAACCGAAACATTTTAGGTTTTCAAAGCCACGCCGACAACAACCGCTAGTATAGTTAGTGACATATAAAATTTAATAAATATTAAAATTCCATTATCCATACTACATATTTACTATACAGAGTACATAAATTATGACTATTACATCACAAGCAGCAAAACAGATTTCTGCTTTATATAACATATTATTTTATGCAATACCGCTAATCTCATGAGAAAATATTAATTATTTGTGTATTTTAGAAGGACGGCGTAATCCACACGATGGGCGGCGGGTTAGAGGGCTGTGGATTGGTGATTCGTGCAGCTTGCCTTTCATTGTTTACTCTTACAAGCCGTATGATTGGTTTTGTATTTTTATTATGAAGCAATTTGATAGATTCGCATACTGTTATGAGCAATATGATTGTACATGAATTTCAATAAATGTTATATCTTTATATCGCAGTGGAGATAGCACTGTGGCTGTATTTCATATTGAAATCTAAATCCTCTCTCTTTGGACTGTCGTTTTTCCGCGAGAATTCTAATTTGGCCTCTCCAAGCATCACTGCAACTACATAACAATACACAGCCCAATGTTTATATCAGACATCGCCAACAAATCCATTACGAGACAACACAGAGCCATTCCATAAATTCCTGGGCGTCCACCTCCGCAAGCAATTCCTCCAAATTCGTCCACCTGGCGTCCACCTGGCGTCCACCTCCGCAAGCAATCCTCACAAAACCTGGCGTCCACCTGGCGTCCACCTGCGTCCACCCGGCGCCCACCAGCGTCCCACCGGCGTCACCTGGCGTCACTGGCCGTCCACCTGGCGTCCACCTGGCTCTCACCTGGCGTCCCCCTGGCTTCCCCCCTGGCGTCCACCTTGCTCCAACCTTGCGTCCACCAGGCGTCCCACCTGTCGTCCCACCTGGCGTCCACCTGCCGTCCACACTGTCGTCCCACCTGGCGTCCACCTGGCGTCCACCTGGCGTCCACTGGCGTCCCACCTGGCGGCCACCTGGCGTCCACCTGCGTCCACCTGGCGTCCACACTGGCGTCCACCTGCGCCCACCTGGCGTCCCACCTAACATAGATTTCCAATTCTGAGTCCTTTTCGAGCAGCGGCCGGTTTCTGCCCACTGACTGGAAGAAGTGGGGATATTCAACAACAAACAAGACCTGGCGTACCTTTTATACTCTAACGTGCATCACACATTATATCTCATAATATGTTAATAATGTTAATATTGTTTGCAACATGCGGTTAGTATAGAGCTAATGTTTTGAGATCTATTTAACGTTTGGAGCGACTGGTGATGAATGTTGTAAGATTTATACTGTTGTAGTTTTAACACCAACGTAAAAGTTGTGGTATCAGCCGAGTATAAGGTACGCTATTAGCTCGGGCCTAGCACCCTGCAGTCTGAACATTATAGATATTGAGGTTTTTTTAAATAAATAAATGAAATGTCAGCTGTATTTTGTTCGAATGTTAGGAGAAAATAAAGATAGGTATGATAACCGAGCACCATGTTAAAATGCAGATTTGCAGTTCCTCACTTTATACACACAATTCTCAACGTTCTTTGTAAACCAACTGTT